CTATCCACCATTGTTTTTTTTTTTTTTTTTTTAAGAGGAAAAAGAGAAAAACACAAAACAAACCAAAGCGGCGTAAGGGTACACGCAATACAGAACTACAAAACAAAACAAAACAAAAAACCATAACAGTAAGAAATTACCTGCTAGTAGATTACACACTATTTTCTTGAAAATAGTTCCTCAAATCACAGTATCAAAGAACACAAGGTGGACATTCAAACAGGGAGACTGCAAACAGCTGTGTTCAATGTTCCAAAAACATTGATAAAGTCAGCTATTTAACACCCCCAAACACACTTGCTGTTATATCCGTTAGAGCTCCTTTTCTTTTTTTTTTCCCTCTCTTTTTTACAACAAAATTTACACATCTTGGATTTTATTACTCCTTAGTGCTTATTACTTTCTTTGGGGGGGGAGAATACAGTCAAATATGGCAAAACAAAGCTGTCAGTCAATACCAAGGATAGACGTAGCACATGGTGTAGAACAGAGTACAAGTTTATCAACAATGGTTATCAACGTTGTCCCTTGTTTCCTTAAAAAGAATTGTCTATCTTATTAGATATTATAAAGTTGGACAAAACAGTAGAGAACAAGACCAATAAAACTTAGGCATTGTAAACATTACAGGACTTCCAAAGAAGACAATAGTCAAACCAGAATGGGTATCTTAGTGAATCTTATTATCTTCAAAGTAGTTGCCTATGTCTTCAAACTTGATACTATCATATAGAATGGAACAGAGTCTAATCAGTCAAAACAAGATCATGGGAGTACTACAGGACTTCAAAACAAGTTAATAGGAAATCGAAAAGAGTTACTATTTATATATCCTAATTTTTTAGAATTTTTTCTTTAATTAAGACAAACATAAGAAATGACTAAATAATTTTTTTGAAACAATAAGGGGGAGATTGAGATAAAACAGGACATAAAAATATAACAATAGAGGTCACAGCATGACTGTTTCAACAACCTAGTACTTCACCACCTTATAACCTGACTTAATAGTAGTTACCATAGTGTCTTTTTCCTTGAAATATTTGGGTAAAGCTTCATATACTCTAGCTTCAAATATTTTCATATCAAGAAGCCCAGAATAAAGCCTTTCTAATTAATGAGTGAAAACTTTATAAGGCTTCAAGGCCACCTAATGGGGAATCATGATTACCACATATTTTTATATATTTGAATCATTACTTACATTAGGGAAACTATTCGCTATTCACATATGCGAGATTGATTTATTTCACTTATGAGTATGGTCTCAAGCTGTGCCCATTTATTGATAAATATCTCAATGTGATCCTTCTTTATAGCTGAATAATACTCCATTGTATAGAAATACCACAACTTTTTTATCCATTCCTCAGTTGATGGGCACTTGGGTTGTTTCCAAGATCTGGCGATTACAAATTGTGCTGCTATAAACATAGGTGCACATATATCACTGTGGTATGATGCTTTCAGTTCTTCTGGGAATATGCCTAGAAGTGGAATAGCTGGAATAAATGGGATTTCCAGTCCCAACTTTTTGAGAAATCTCCAGACAGATCTCCACAAAGGCTGTACCAGTCTACACTCCCACCAGCAGTGCAGGAGAGTTCCTTTTTCCCCACAGCCTCTCCAGCATTTGTTGTCGGTTTTCTTGATCCTGGCCATTCTTTCAGGGGTGAGATGGTATCTCAGTGTGGTTTTAATTTGCATTTCTCTAATGACCAATGATGATGAGCATTTTTTCATGTATTTATTTGCCATTTGCATTTCTTCATCTGAGAATTGCATATTCATCTCAGATGCCCATTTTTGGATTGGATCTTTGAATTTCGGAGGTCTGAGTTTCTTTAATTCTTTGTATGTTTTAGACAAGAGTCCCTTGTCTGAGAGAGAGTTCACTAAAATCTTTTCCCAGTTTGTGGGTTTTCTTTTCACTATGCTGGAGATTTCTTTTGACATGCAGAAACTTTTTAATAAGAAGTGGTCCCAGTTATTGATTCTGGGAAGTATTTCCCGTGCGGTTTGAGTCCTGTTCATGAATTCTTTACCTACTCCTATGTCTCCAAGGTTTCTACCTATTTTGTCTTCCAATAGATTTAGTGTTTCTGTTTTAATATTCAGATCTTTGACCCATTTAGATTTTAATTTAGTACATGGTGATAGACATGGGTCTAGCTTTAGTTTTTGGCAAATGGAGAGCCAGTTTTTCCAGCACCATTTATTAAAGAGACTGTCGTTCTTCCAGTGAACCTGCTTGGCTCCTTTATCAAAAATAAGGTGGTTGAGTGTGTTCGTAGTTGTGGTTGTATCTTCTAATCTATTCCACTGATCTTCAGCTCTGTTTTGATTCCAATACCATGTTGATTTTACTACTGTTGCTTTGTAGTATAACTTCAAGTCAGAGATTGTGATGCCTCCTGCTTTGTCTTTGCTGCTTAGAATTGCCTTTGCGATTCTAGGTCTCTTCTGGTTCCAGATGAAATTTAGGAGTGATTTCTCTAGATCTATAAGGTATGTTGATGGTATTTCTATTGGGATTGCATTGAATCTGTATAACAGTTTTGGGAGAATGGCCATTTTCACAATGTTTGTTCTTCCTATCCATGAGCAATGGATGTCTTTCCATTTTCTGAGATCATCTTCAATTTCCTTTTTCAGTGTATTATAATTTTCACTGTATAAGTCTTTCACTTCTTTCGTAAGAGTAATTCCTAAATATTTCATTTTTTTGCTTGCTAATGTGAATAGTCCAGTTTCTCTTATTTCCCTCTGTGTAATTTTGTTGTTCGTGTATAGGAATGCTATTGATTTCTGAATATTGATTTTGTATCCAGCCACATTACTGAATTTATTTATTGTATCTAAGAGTATTTCAATGGAGTTTAGGGGGTCTTCTATGTAGAGTATCATGTCATCTGCAAACAATGATAATTTAACTTCTTCTTTTCCTATCTTTACCCCTTTTATTTCTCTTTTTTGCCTAATTGCTCTGGCTAGTACTTCCAGTACTATATTAAATAGGAGTGGTGATAAAGGACATCCTTGTCTTGTACCCGATTTTAAAGTAAAGGCTTTCAATTTTTGGCCATTTAGTATGATGCTGGCTGTTGGTTTGTCATAAATGGCCTTTATTATATTGAGGTAAAGACCATTTATTCCAATTTTCTGCAAAGTTCTTATCATGAATAAGTGTTGGACCTTATCGAAGGCTTTTTCTGCATCTATAGAGATGATCATGTGATTCTTATTTTTGGCTTTATTGATATGGTGGATTACATTTATTGATTTGCGTATATTGAACCATCCTTGCATTCCTGGGATGAATCCCACCTGGTCATGGTGTATAATCTTCTTGATGATTTGCTGGATCCTATTTGCCAATATTTTATTGAGGATTTTTGCATCTGTGTTCATTAGGGAGATCGGTCTATAGTTCTCTTTTATAGTTGGGTCTTTCTCAGGTTTTGGTACTAGAGTAATATTTGCTTCCAGGAATGACTTAGGAAGGATTGCTTCCCTTTCAATTTCATTGAATAGTTTGTGGAGTGTCGGCATTAGGTCTTCTTTATATTTCTTGTAGAATTCTGCAGTGAATCCATCTGGGCCTGGGCTCTTCTTGGTGGGCAAGGACCCAATTACATTCTCAATTTCATTAGCAGAGATTGGGTTATTCAACAGTTTTATATCCTCTTGATCTAGCTTTGGTACTTCATATGCTTCTAAGAATCTATCTATTTCTTCTGTGGTATCAAACTTTTGAGAGTAGAGGTTTTCGAAATAGGTGTTGATGATCCTCTGTATTTCTATTGGGTCTGTAGTGATTTCTCCTTTTTCATTTCTTATTGCATGAATTTGAGCTTTTTCTTTCCTTTTTTTAATAAGGTTGGCTAGGGGCTTATCGATTTTATTTATTCTTTCAAAGAACCATTGTTCAAATGCATAGAATTACTACACACAGGGAGTTCATTCATGTAGTGACAATCTCTCTGATTGTGGGAAGTTTTTCTACATTCCTCATGTTCATGGCTTTTTTTTTCCTGGGGTGGATATTTTATGTTTAGAAAGTAAGAATTTAGCAACAAATCCACTTATTCATTTCGCATATATGGAGGGTTTTTCTACAGTGTAAATTCTCTTATATACACAAAATGTTCTACTATAGCTGAAAATGATTGCACATTGCTTACATATATAGATAAAGTTTATTTTCAGCACTTCTGCATACTGAATGCTTTGTCATACTGGCTGTACCCATAATGGTTCTACCCAGTGTGAGCTCTTTCATTATAATAAGGTTACCATTTTGACTGTAAGATTTCCCACATTGCATACATACACAGGGTTTCTCCCAGTATGAATTGTTTTATGTATAATAAGGTTACCATTTTGACTGAAAGATTTCTCATGTTGCTTACATATGTAAGTTTTCTCCCCAGAGTTAATTTCATCATGTGCTTTACAACTAGAGGCTGTACTGAATGCTTTCTTACATTTGTTTCACACATAGTGTTTCTCTCTAATATGGATTCTTTGATGTCTAATGAGGGTACGATTTTGACTGAAAGATTTCCCACAATGCTTACATAGATATGGTTTCTCTCCAGTGTGAATTCCATCATGTACTTTACATCCAGAGGCTGTACTGAATGGTGTCCCACATTTGTTGCATAAATAGGGTTTCTCCCCAGTGTGAAACTTTTATGTCTTTGACAGCTACTGTGTATACTGAATGCTTTCCCACATTGCTTGCATTTATATGGTTGCTTTCCAGTGTGAAGGTTTTTATGTTTTTAAAAGGAATTCCCATGACATGATGCTTTTGCACATTTCTCAGTTACATAGTGTTTCTCTCCACAATCATTCCTCACATCTTTTTTCAATATGCTATGAAGAAATAGAACTATTCTCATTGTGTTATTGTACATAGGAGTTGCCCAATGTGTGATTTTTCTCATGCATTTGAACATTGTTAGTTGTTGGGTAGGCTTTCACACTTTTCTTACCTACAAAATTTTCTGCCCATGGGGACTTCGTTCACTAAAGTCAGAACTGTTCTCCCCATATTGCCCATATTGACAAGGTCTCTCTCCAGTCTTTCTTACTTCGTGCTTCTGAAAGGACTGAAAATCACTGCAAGTGTCTTCATCTTTATTACATTCATATTGCTGCTCTTCAATTCCCAAATATTTGTCTTCATCATATCTGTAAAGAAACAAAGAAGGACATCAATCACAATGGAAAGTGCTTCACATTAACACTTGGGATTTATGATGAGAAATTTTGTTTGATGCCTGCTAAGTAATTCTGATTGTTAACTGACTCATTGTCCTGCAGGACTTCTTTCAAAGTACTGTTCATTCTAAAGAGGATGGTTTTCATTTGGGAATTTTAAATTGGTATACAATCCTAATACATCATCTCATTTTAGGGGATTGGTACAAATGGCTATCAAATATTGATTAATTTTTTAACACTTTAGGTCTTCATTCTCCCCCTTATCTATTTAGCCTCATCACGTTCTCATCTGTGGAAAGTCTCAGTATATATATATATATATATATATATATATATATATATATAGTTTGAAGATGATTTATATATATATATATGGATAGTTTGAAGATGAGTTTCAATCAAAATTCACTATTTGTTCACTTCCTGCATATCAGAACAATAACAATATAAACAATATTTCAGTTTACTCATACATTTCCATGATGTTGATCTTGAAGGCAACTTTCAAACTGATAAATTAGATACTATTATTTGTTACATAGTATCAGTACCACCTCTGATTTCTACATTCAAATATTTTTCTATGGATTCTGAGATAACAAAAATAAAATAATATGCATCTCTTGATATTTTCCTGAGGATTAAGTGTAACATGATCTCATTTCTTCAAGTTCATTTATTGTAATATTTATGCTCACACACTGATACTTAAGGGGTGTTCCGTTTCTCTTATGTTAATCACCTTAGACTTTTTGAGCCATTTTTGTCCTCTTCTCTCCTTTGTTGGTTATGCAATATTCTTCCTGTACTACAGACATAGAAATTTAAAATACTCACTGTAACTTTATGATAAAACATCACTGATTCAAATCATACTCATGGTATAATATAATTGGTCCTGAGATATAGAAGCAAATGTTATAATTATCAATTATGTTACACTATATCACTGAGAAATAATTAATGCTGTTTGTATAAATAAAATATATCATCCTTACCTGCAGCATTAATATTCATAGATATTTCCCACATCACATCTCTGTAGAGCTTCTTTTATGATGCATTCAGCAAATCTCACTCTTCTGGGGGAAAATCACAGCTACATCCTCAAAAGTCACTGTCTCTTAAGTAATGACAAGTGCCCTGAAGTTCAGAAACACAACCTGATATTTCACAGCCCCTGTCATAAACAGTCTAACTGGAGATCATTCCTTCAAGCATTAACTGTATGTCATCATCAACAAAACTCAAGAACATTGCAATAGTCACTGAGGAACACTGAAGATAGAATATAACACATTGCCAAATTGATGACAGAACTGTAGCGTGGCTTGTCCTGCAGGCCTGTCTATACTCTACTTTTCACTGAATTTAAAGCAGAGCTCAAAGAGGTAGCCTACAAATCACCTTTCAGAAATATGTGATTATTCAAGGTTTCTGGAAACCTCCAGGCTGCACCAAGCCTCCACATCACACCACCAGCTGAATCTTAGACTGGACACCTAAAAACACAAGGACATCCTGCTCAGGAAACTCATATATGTCCACTGTTCATTCCAGTCATGTTCACTTCCCTTTCCATATTCTTTGTTCTCCATAATTTACATTTCAGAATGGCAAACAGGAAAACCCAACTCTGCCTCAAATCCATAGTGATTGTCTCTGCTCAGTCCTGATCACAGGTGGGAACAGCTGGACATCCAGGACTGTGCTCCTCTGTAGAGCTGCAGAATGAAAGCTCAGCTGGTTTTCATGAGCACAACGCGGTCTCATTTGCATTTCTTCCTGCTATATAAACAGTGCTGTGATTGGTCCCTCAGAGCCAGCAGTGTCCACAGATTATGTGAGTGCACTGAGCAAGTCTAGTAACAAAGATGCACTAAAGAGAATATTATAGCTCATGTGACAGTGCTCCATTGTGTTTTTAACACTTCATCAGCTTTCATTTTTGTCTATATACTCAGATCATGCTTTTTATATTAATGATGCTTGCATTGTGAACATGTAAAATGTTCAATGCCATAAAAAGTTGTTTTCTTCATGTAGGATCTGATGCTTGAGGAAGGTCATCCCCACTGTCTAGGTCTTTGCTCTACTGATGTGTGAGCAGATTGTTTCCTGCTCCAGCTCCTGGGCATTCCTGTTTGAAGACTCCTCTCCCTGTGGTGAAATGTGTGCACCTGTGTGCGTTCTGCTCTTTATTCAAAGAAAACTGCACCGGCATTCATGAGGATCCTGTTAATCAGTTTCTCAGTTTCACCTAAGATGATCTTTCTCTGTCTCAATTTTTTCCATTTTTTACTCTATTTTTTAAAATTTTTAGTCATTTTTATCAATAGTGCTTGTAGTATATAATGGTTATATTTATTGTAGACTCTTACACATGTTTTTTAAAACATTTTAATTCTTTTTCTACCAGATTACCTCTAACATCTCTCTATCTCTTAGTTTCCTTTAGTTGTGAAAAATCTTTACCTCCCTTTTTGCCATTTAATGGATTTATATTCTTCTTTTCCTACATGAAATAAACTGTGAGGTATTTAAATATCTCTGATTTATTTCAGTTATATAGTGAAACAAGTTTTTCCTGTGGTTCCTTTGGCAGTCAACAACAATCAACAATATAGTGAATGGAGAACTAAAAAAAAATGATTCCCTTAAAAATAAGAAATAGGTAATTGAAATGAACAGACAATTTTCTGAGTCACAAGTAGAAAAGGCCACTAGATAAATCGAATATAATCAGTAGTTTACAATCAAGGGAAGTAACCTCATAAATTCAACATCTTACTTGAATATTTTACAGTATATCTTTGTGTACACTTCTTAACATTCTGTATTTACCATGTACTGTTTTGTAAACACCCAATTTTCAATTTTGGATCACAAATGCCTCTTCCTTTTCTTCCAAATACTCTAGTCTAACATTTTCACCTGAAAAATATTCCAAAATTTTTTATCATTTGTTTTTATCCAACAATCCTTATAATTTTTCTATCACTACACATTTGTGATATGTGGTGGTTATGTGTCACATCTTTCTCCATTTTACTTTCCTTCTGCCTCAGATTTCTTCATATTTCCACAGAAGATACATTTCAGTTCCTTATCTTGTTTGGTTTGTTCTTTGTGTTGTTTCTATTGTGTCTTTTGTTTTAGACAGATTATGTGATATTCTTTATCTGAATTAATTTATACTTATTATCTCAAGATCAACCTATTTTCCTTAAAACAACTCAAACTTACCTCTATTCTGTAGGTACACCATATTTTCAGCCTTTATTTATCCTACATGAGTATAAATATGTAACTGCCATATTTTATCTTTGGTGAACTATGGTAATATAAATATATATTACTATACTTTCTAACTTTAATACTGCACAGTCAAACACATAGAGTAACTAACAACCATGTATAAACATATGAGTTGTTAACAAAATTAAGTAACTATATTACTTTTCTATTTGTTTAACATTTTAAAATTTTGCTAATGTTATTTAATGTACTCCTGCAACATATAAAAACAATTTCCTGCACAATGTTACGCTTGAAAGAAGTTCATATGCTTTGGTGTCACCACACATTTGTTAAATTATCAGTGTTATTACAACCAAGAACACTTTCAAAGCCATTCTGAATCTAAGAGTAAAATCAAGAATAAGATGCCAATTCACCTTTTCTGTTACTCAGCACAAGTCATGCAGATCCTGAAAAGAGGAAAAGCCAAATTTCCTATTCCTGTGATTCAGGAGAATGCATGATGGGCCTGAGAGGAATACAAAGAAGAAAAAGAAGGCAATTTTTCCTTTTTAGGATCTGGCACAAGGCATGCTAATCCTGAGAGGAGAATAAGCCAAGTACAGCCTTCCCATGACCTGGCACAAACTATTCTGGGCTGAGGGGAAGTAACACGAAGAACAACAAATCATTCCACCCTTCCTGTGAGCCAACGGGTTGACCTGACTAAGAATGCCACCCTGACAATAGATTACAATTACTTGGAAGAGCTCCTGGATTTGGTTCCTGAGGGGGAATTGCCTAATGAGAAGGGGATTGAATGGCATCAGATGTGACAAGAGAAACAGAAAGTGTTTGATAAAACAAAAATGGATAATTTGCCTGAAAATTCACATTGAAGGATTTAGCAGAATGTTTTGAAAATTTTTCTATCTGTTTAAGTCTTGGAAATACAGACCCCCAGCACAGAATATAGGGAACACTTACTTGTGCCTGATCTTCATATATGATGAAAGCAAGGAAGGGTGATGTTTGCACATTCTCCTAACAGACTATACTGAAGCCATTTCATTCTCACATACTCTTAAAACATATTCATAAACTCCATGTGCAGGCACCTCTGAGAAGTCGTGCCTATAAGTATATGAGGCTTTGAAAGGACATGGTGATCCAAGCCAAAAGAGAGATATATGTAAGTATATAGGTAAGGAGGTAAATAGATATCCAAAGATTGAATGCTACTACTGTCTTGAATAAATTCTTATTTCTAACTTCTATAAAGATAGTACAGTCCCTACTCCTGTTTAGCTACCATGAGCAGAAAGCTCACTAAGGACCTTGAATAGTGTCATGAGTGCAGCCAGGCTGCCCTATTTCCTCCTCCCCTGAGCACTGTGCTGCACAAGGTGCTGGTGCTGATCGTGGGGACAAAGTCTCCTGAAATGATGTTGCTGAGGGAAGAGCTGTGTGTTCTCAGACCTGGAGAAGAGGGATGTGAAGGATTTAAGTCCCCAATCTGAAACATTTAATTCTGAATGAGACAGCTCCTTGTCATTGGGATAAAATGATCAGATTTGTTTTTAAATGATCATAATTTGGCACTGAAAAAACCCCCCAAATTCACAAAAGTTATAGTGTACATTAAAACGCATGCAACTCACATTACCTCATGAAAGAATAGTCATGTTAATAGATATAAAGAAATTATATATATATATATATATATA